CATCCTCCAAACCTCCAGGCAAAAGGCGGGGGAGGAAGCCAGGGACACAGCTTGTAAAAGATTCAGAGGCCTGCCCCATTCGACGTTCATTTAGGCAATTGGACTCGGCAAAGAATCATGCCAGGCAACTTAATAGTAGACGCCAGAGACTCCTTTCACGGCAGACAGAGATGAACACTCTGAAGCGCAAGGGAAGGAAACCACAATGGCTTTTGGACCAGTTGGCTGCCCAAGCAGAAAACAGGGAACCTCAACAAGACAAGAAACCAGGAAGGAAACCAAAGCAGTCAAATCGTTTAAAGGATATTTCAGTTGAGGAGCCATTAAGTGAAATTACAATGAAATTTTCTTACCCTGATAATGAAGTTGACCTCTCTTCTGATGTCCAGGCCTCACTGTTTTCCACGGAGACCACTCATATGACTGAAAGCAGTACTGACAAAACTGCATCTCAAGAGAATTTGAAATGGCCTGACAGTGCTACGTCTCTTATTGAGTTACTATCAGCAGAAACTACTCCATGTTGGAAAAAGGACTTCAGGGTGACGGAGGAGATTGTTTTCCGGGAGCAAGGCCTTTCTATGGTTCGTAAATTCCACACATATTCAAGACCAGTTGAATTAGAAGGAATATCAGTCAACAGTTTACCCAAAGATGAAGTTAAGCTGGACCATAATGAATCCAAACAAAAAAGACAGTCTGCTGAGCAACAGTGTGAACCTGCAGATAGCCTTGAAGCTGCTGCACAGGATAAAAATTCTGTGGAAATCAAGGCTACACCAATCCTTGTTACAAATGAGGAACCATCAACTCCTGCTGAAGCCATTCTTGAGCCAGTTAAAGAATTCATTGAGCATCCCAAAGTTAATGACTTATCAAGTCCCCAAGATGCAAACACCAAATATCCAGACTATGGTCCTTACAGTCCTATTAGTCCTCCAGAAAATACTACTGTTGATCTTCCACCAGAAGTGACAACTCTTACCACAGCTGATGCCATTCCTGTACCTGATAGTACGCCAGAAAACGTGACGGGTCTTCATGAGGATGCTCCTCCAGTTCTTACTGAAGTGACGATGCTCCCTGATGCTACAGTCGCTACTTTGAGTGAAAGCGAGATTGCCACTTCTTCTAAAATTGTGCATGAGAGTACGGAGGTGCCAGCGCTGTCACCAAGACCTGAGGAGACATCACCGGAAATGCATGCAGCTGTTGATGGTCTAGTCCCTGACCTTATTCCCCCAAGTGATGCAAGTTGCCAGCTTTCAGTTAACTGCAGTCTTTGCAATAAAGAAACCAAATACCCATACATTCTGCGGCATGCAATGTGGCATCATCGGATTGACAGAAAGTGCATGTTCTGTCACAAACGCTACACTCATGGGCGCAGCCCGTCAGTCCATTTTAAAGTGCACATTCAAGAGCTGAAAAAGTCTAATGGGCTTTTTAATGAAAATATTTGTGAGAATGCCACTGAGAACACCTTGCGACGTTCCCAGACAAGACTGTATAAACGTGTGAATCCTGCCATGAAGAATAGGTTTAGAAACATCAAAATGAGGTTAAACTGTACTTTGAACATCACAGATTTGCACAGGGAAGGGCAAAGTTCAGAGCCTAAAGTGAGATTACGGGCAAGGTTAGTTAAGAATTCAGATACTCCAAGTACATCGGAAGTACAAAAGGAGAAAGTTTGCAAGATGAAGAGAAAACATGTGTTAGCAAAGAGATCTCAGTCCATAGATGAGAACAAAAAGTTTTGCAGAATAGGACTAGTAAGGAAGAGAGCAAAGACAATGCAAACACTAACTCCAGATGACAACCATTCAGATACCAAGGGCAACTCGGCTCATAGAGTAAATGGAGTGATCAGAAAGAAAAGAAAAGTGAAGAGTGAGCCTGAGACAAATACCCTTGATGAAAAGATTCAGACATCATTACCACAGGACAGCAAAGTGAAAATCGAGAGTGTAGAAAGTCAGAAAGTCAATATCAAGACTGAATCTGAGAATGTAGAAGTGACAAAAGACAAGAGCAAAACAAAATTGAAAAGAAAAGATAAAATGCTGGACTCTGGGCTGAAAAAGAAGAAGATTACTCCTGGAGATCAAAAAGAGGATGGAGAAGATGTAAAGAAGAGGAAGATAACAAACAGCCCGGAAGCCAGTTCTGAGAATCAGGAACCCAAAGACAGTAATACAGAAGCTAAGGAAATAAATCCAATAGGGCATAAGAATGGGACTCCCCCAAAACCCAAACAGCCTTCCACACCATTCCAGGGAAAAAGAACTGGAGCATCTACGCATGTCAGATGCCCTGTGGAGATATGTACATTTAGTGCAAAGTCAATCCTTGTCCTTTCACATGTGCTGTCTCACCACCATGGCGACAAGAAGGCGCTTGTGTTCTTTTTCAACTTTGGAAAGGAAAAATGTCTTTTCTGTTGCAGAAAGATATTCAACCCTCAGCATTTTTTTGACCATGTCATATGCCACAGAGGTGAGCTGAAGTTCCCATGCTACCATTACGGCTGCAAGGAGAGGTACCAAACACGTATGGAGCTTAGTGAACACATGTTAGGCCATCATCCCTTGAAAGCGATGTGCTGCTTTCCTGGCTGCTCTATGCAAGTTGAGAGCGGTATGCTCCTGTATAAGCATGAGAAAATGCATTATCGACCCGATACAAATTCGGGAAAAAATCCATTCCCCAAAGAATCTGAACCAACAGGTCACGGAGCCCCTCGAAGCCAGGAAGATAATATGGAGGCACCAGCAAATTCTTCAGTCAGTCAACAAATTCTGGGTACAGCCAATTCGAAGGGTCCTGCAAATCAAGATGATGATGGAAAACCTTTGGTCCTCAATAAAAGTTCCCAAAACTACAGTAGCAAAAACCATAGCCTTGTTAATGGGCATAGCGAGGGTGACAAAGTTGTTCCTCCCAATCCTTCAGATCCAGTCATTAAAGAGCAGGAACCAACGGTTTTAGGAAAACCTGTAACTAAAAAATTTGTTCGACCTCTTCCCTCTGCCTATCTGGATGAGTCTTACATTAGCATGCCAAAACGCTGGAAGGCACCCCAGGTGGGCTCAAAGTTATTAGGCTCTGTGTCAAAGGCAGAAAAACAGCCTACCAGGCAGCGCTGCTCTCGATGCTTTCAGTCTTACAACAGTGAGGAAGAGCTGCAGACACATAAGGACAAATGCACATCCCTCTTTGGTTTTGATTCGGATGATGAAAGTAAGTACCTTTTTTATTATGAATCTCAAGTTATTTAATTTTTGTTGTTGAATACTTTGTTTTTGTTTTCAACAGGTGCCTCCTGAATTTGGAGAAGCAAGCCTCTACTGAGAAAACTGCTAAATGCTGCTGTGGGCGATCAGCGTTCTTACGTGTGTGCTTAACATCTTTGTCAGCGTCTCGAAACGGAACTAGATTGAGAACTACATGAGAAATGAATTATCACTCATTGTAGTCTTCTATGGCTGATCTGCTTTATTTAAGAGCGAAGGTCTGTTAATTATTCTTTAAAAAATCTGACATTATTATTTTTTTCAAAGTCTTTTGAGACTTGGGACTATTTTTTACTTGATTGTCATCTTTGCTAGAAAATGAATAAGTTTGTCTTTCTATAAAATGCACAACAGATGCTTTTGACTCTCTCCTCACTTTCTGCCACAGTGCTTAGCCTGTTCTCTCATTTTTTGCTTTTCTTTTCAATTCCTGGATATGAGAGGCCACCAAGGACCATGACACTACAAGACGAGTTGGTCTGTCTTTCAGGCCAGTGTAAATACCTGCTCTAGAAAGCACAAAATGTTGTGCTAAGTGGTGGTTATTGAAAGGTTTATCTTGGCTGTTTTGAGACAATGGGTCAGGTATTTACCAGTGTTACATTGTGCTTTATGAGCAGAAGTACTGGATGGAAACTAGTAGGCCACTTTAAGTATTGCAAGCACACTCTAAATATGTTCTTTTATTATTTTTAATAGACTTAATATGTAAACCTTTGTAAATTGTTACTAATTGCATATTTTGCAAATGTCATTAACTCGCATATGTTTAAGTCGGTGGACACCTGGGAAGAATTAAAGACATCAAGTCTTTAAATGAAGGACTTTGACTTCGGTTGAGAAAGCCTATAGAACTGTTGGCCTGTAACTGGTGCTGCTGGAAAGGCCTAGTCTTTAAGACTGCAGATTCTCCTGTTAATGGAGGAGTGTATATGTGCCACAAAGCCTCACTGAACATCGTCATGACATATTCTAAATGACTTCTCTTTAAACTCAAGAAAATTGTAAGGGGAGGACAAATTTGTGTCTCAGACAGAGGCATGCTTATAGCTGTTCAATTGATGAACAGTAACAGTCTTATTTATTCTTTTTTTTTTGTATCTTCTGTAAATGTTTGAAGAGTTTAAATAGTGTATGATTGGATTGGGTGACTGGTTTATATATAAAGAGCTTTTTTTGTCCTGATTAATAAACACATTTGAAGGGGAGTTGTGTTTGTTGGTTTATTGTAAACAGCCGTTGTATTGTATATCGTTAGCACTTGCACAACATAATGTTTTAATTTTCTCAGTTTATGTGGTAAAAATTAACTAGTTTGCTGCGTCTCCGTCCACGGGAGGCGCTGTTCACTGTTAGGTTAAGTTTATCATAGCTGTTGCCAAATAAAGGTTTTCTGTACTGATTTGTTTCGGGCCGCTTTGTTCGCGACAGTACCTTTAAGTGCCTTTTTGTAAAATTATAAGATGTATGAGTAAAGCACATGCCAAACGTTTAAAAGAATAGTTTTATGCATTTCCCCTCAAAATTTCATTATACCATACAATTTCTAAACACTTGGCAACCTCGACAATCGCGGCTGCAGCCATAGCAGCCAGATTCAGCTTGGTAAACAAAGCGGACAACTAGCGAGCTAGCCGTTATGGCAATACATTTTTTTCCCGCAAAAAAAAAAAACGTTCTAAAATTGAGAGTAAAGCATTTGCGGGGACAGTTTCAAAACGCTATACATAGTTATTATGTAATGACATTTTCTTTCTAATGACATATGTAATTTAACAGTTTCATGGATCGTATGTAACGTTAGCTAACTGGTTAGCCTTTCAGTGAGGCTGCATTGGCTAGGGTAACGTTAGTGAGCAAAATGAAACTAAACTGTATTGTAAGTGACCGTCTGCTAATTATAGGATGTATCTTAGTTGACATTTTTTAGTTTACATCGTCCTTAATTCTCTACTAGAAAACATAAAATGTCTGTAATCAAATCTGTATGAATCACTCAGATAGGCAGATAAAAGCGTGCTAGCAGATAACGGGTTGATTGAAAACACGAAGAAAATCAGTCAGGAACGTCAGTAATCGGCCACAACGGCTGTCATGAAATAATAAATCCCAGTTCAGGCACTTGGGGTGAAATGTTCAATCTGATGGCGAACTGCTGCAACTGGTTGAAACGATGGAGAGAACCTGCAAGGTGAGTGTCCAAGTTATCTCGTGCGTGTGTCAAGAGAGACTGAAGTATTTAGCAACTCGTTTCTGAGCAGAACTGTCAGTGAGCTCTTACAATGTGCAATTGTATTTACCTGTATTTGTACAGTGGTCCCAATAAGCCACACTTTTGCCATAGTTTTGACCTTAACCTGTGCGACTGTCCTCTGTATATTTTATGTCACTGTGTTTATTTATTGGCAACAAACATTCAATTTGGCTGATGAAAGTGACCACACACCAAGTACCTTTGAAATACTTACTATTATTTTGTATTGCAATGGGAAGTGCAGTGTGTAACTCTCAAAATGCATCATTGAATGATTATTGTCTTGTTTTGAAATAAAAAATATTTACTTTCCCCCGTTATGATTCAACAGTTATTGTACAACGGAAATAATGCCATAGAAATAATGCCATATTAAGTGGCATTTATTTTAAAGGAATAGACCATAGAAAATTTTGCATAGATGCATGATTCATACGTAAACAGTAAACAAAATTTGATTTGCAACATTTCTTAACATTTCTAAATTTTTAAAACGTTTTTTTAAGTTTTACATCTAATATTTAAAATTTAAGTTAAGTTATGCTGTGACAAAAGCACTTGTGCATATTGAGTTATTTAGTAAATTTTCCACACAGCAGGTTCATCTATTCTCATGAGGTTTCATTAGATCTGGTGTCATTTACAATTTTAATATTTCCTCTCTCTGTGTTGATTAGCGCAACATTTCTTAACATTTCTAAATTTTTAAAAAGTTTTTTTAAGTTTTACATCTAATATTTAAAATTTAAGTTAAGTTATGCTGTGACAAAAGCACTTGTGCATATTGAGTTTAGTAAATTTTCCACACAGCAGGTTCATCTATTCTCATGAGGTTTCATTAGATCTGGTGTCATTTACAATTTTAATATTTCCTCTGTGTTGATTAGCGGCCCTACCTGCACCTTTCACTGTACATGTTTGAACGTGACTCATAATTAGGACTAGGCTTAAATCCAAGTGCTAACTAAATGTCTGATTACTCACATCACCTGCTGTGCCTGAAACAAGATGCTTGATAAGCCTAAATCTGGGTCAGATGGTTGATCGTAAGACCCAAGAATCGTTCTATATGAACTATGAAGTGTAAAAGTCAAGCCTTAAAAGTACCAGCGATGTTATGGAGACTTATGTTACTCTCCGCTGACAGCTCCTGGGCCCAGAGGTGACGGCTAAGTCTCTAAGTTATTGTCTTAATTTCATTGGTTGAACGTAGTGTGTCCTCTAGCACCCTGTCACTGATCTTGTTGGGTAAGTCGAAATCCCCAGCTAATCCCTCAGATACAGAGCTGACCAGTGGCCAGGAAAGACAGAAGTGTGTGTGTGTGTGTGTGTATCGACAATAACAACCGAAGTCAAGGGAAAGCTAGCTGTCATCTTGATCTATTCCCAGTCTTGATGAAGGCCTGGGTGCAGAGAACTGTCACCTGGATAGTGCGCTTGATGTCCCTGCGGCGCAAATGCCGCAGTTAAGTATCTGTTTGTGTGTGTGTGTGTTGGTAGCTGTAAGGACTTTGTGTTTTCATATGTTGTTCATCCATGGTGACTGCGGGGTTTGTTTACGTCGCCTGGCCTTTGTGTTCGTCTGGCATTTTTTAAGAATTAAGCATAGTTTGATGATAGTGAGCAAAAATCCAATGTCAATTTAGGATATTTATGTTACTTCACAGATGTCTTATTATGCCACTAAGCCTCCACTGGAAGCCTTGTAGTTTAAACAGCTGTGACTCTACAGCCCCGGACAGATTATCATTAAACTTATTGAATATTTTTGACGTCATTAGTGTTGGAAAAGGCCACATTATTTACTTTGTCTTTTTGTGCACGGTATGCTGAATCATCCTCTTCATCCCTGTGTGCTTTTGCCAGTCAAGAGATGATGCATTACCATGCAGGCTTAGGTTGTATTCGCTCACAGCTGTTCGTAACTTAATGTCAAGTTTTATTAAATGTCAAAAAGTTCAAAGCTGCCTGTATGAACTCATTAGTGAATAAATTGCAACTGAATACACCTTTTCTGTGATTTGCATGTTTTTAATTTCTGTATTAAAATTTATTTTGATATATTTGGACGTAAAGTAAAAAAAGAAATATCAGGGTGATACATTTGTTATATCAAAAAAACAAAAATGAAATTCTTGAAAAAAAATTCAAGTTAAGTAATTTGGCCTAAACTTGTATTAATATTTCTTAGAAAGAAAGGAAATACATACATACATACATACACACTGCCAAATCAAACTGATATGGGTGACCATCATGCTAGCTAAATAATAAATTCATTAATTAATAATTGTTGCAACTCCCCAAAAACTTTGAAATGGTGACAAAAATTCATGATAAATAAATAGGCAAACAAACAAATAAATAAAACGTACTTAAAAAAATAATGATAAAGTCACATATTAAAGGTATAAATTAAAAAAGAATGTTATTATTTTTAACTTGGTGGTTACACAACACAGGATATTTTTAGAGTTATTATTTTAAACCTTTATAAACTTTAAACTTTTTTTGAAAATGGTATAAAAGTTTATTTTTATTTTTTTTAAATCGTTTGAAATCAACTTGAATACATATAGGCCTAGCCTAGCCTAACTTGACACAGTTGTTTTAAACTAGATTTTTTTTCTTTATCATGTTCTCGCTTGTTTGCCATTGACCTTAATATCGCATTTTAACCTGAGTGCACCTCAAGTGTTTGACAAAAAAATATTTTTTTTATTAGAAGGACCGCATTGACCTTAATGAGGTCTTTTGGAGACACATAATGAAATGAAGCTGTATCTATGCTCTTGCAGGAAGGTGACATTAGTAATGGTTGGACTGGACAATGCTGGAAAAACAGCAACTGTCAGAGGAATCCAGGGAGGTAAATATTCATCTTAATATTTTTGGAGTATTTTTTATGTAGTCCCCCCAAATCGATCTCACAAGGTATATTTCTGTGACTGTCATAGAAAGTCCTTTAGATGTAGCACCTACAGTGGGCTTCTCAAAGGTGGACCTGAAGCAGGGGAAGTTTGAGGTCACAATCTTCGACCTGGGTGGCGGGAAGCGCATCCGCAGCATTTGGAAAAACTACTACTCTGACTCTTACGGAGTGGTGTTTGTTGTGGACTCCAGTGATGTTCAAAGGATCCAGGAGACCAGAGACACAATGGCTGAGGTTCTCCGGCACCCCCGTATTGCAGGCAAACCTGTATTAGTGTAAGTTTTCAAAACATGACATGTTCTTGCTGTTAAACGTAACTTAATGTCTAGACTTAACATTACACTACCGTTCAAAAGCTTGGAATTAGTAGGATTTTTAATGTTTTTCAAAGAAGTCTCTTATGCTCATCAAGGCTGCATTTGTTTGATCAAAAATACAGTAAATAAAAAATGAAATATCGTAAAATAGTATTACAATTTAAAAATAACATATTTGTATTTTACTATACTTTGAAATATAATTTATTCCTGTGGTGGCAAAGCTGAATTTTCATCAGCCATTGCTACAATCTTAAGTGTCACATGATCCAAATAAACATTATTCATGAATAAAACGTTAAAAATCTTACTCATCCCAAACTTTGAAATGGTAGTGTACGAGTGTATGTCTGCAGATCATCAAACATGGGAGATAAAACATAAAGCATAAAGGCCGTAGATAAAATGAATACTCCCTGTGCTCTCTATTTCTAATGACATTGATAATAGAAAAAAAAAAATAATATATATAT